CACACACACACACACACACACACACACACACACACACACACACACACACACACAGCTGCAGCATGATTGAACTTTTCAACTCTATAATTCAAGTGGATGAGATCCAGGAGTGGAATTCTGTTGTGTTCAGTGTAGTGGTTGACATTTAGTTTCATTCAAACTTTGAAGAGCTCCATGTTTGGTTTGGCTGCAGACGACAGCAGCAACATAACCAAAAAATTAAAAACTGCTGTTTTCCTATCATGCATCGACACAATCTGAGTTTCTTTTAAAGGAGACAAAAGGTGATTAAAAAAAAACCATCACAGACTAAGGTCATCAACAGAAGTTCACCTATAAACAAGTTTGTTTTTAAGAAAAGGTTTGTAAATATTTCATAAAAAATAAAATGAAATGGATTCTTTGTGCTGCAAACTGTAGAAACTTTTTATTGATTGATTGATTGATCCAAAAATGACTTGTTTGTGATCTGATTTAATCTGTAGGGATTTTCTTGTATCTTCGGTTTGTTCAGGAGAATTTGRTTAAACAAAAATCATGTAATCAACAAAATTAACAGGAAACCTTTTGATGTTTCTCAAAATAATTATACTTGGATTTATTTCATACACAAGCAAAAAAAAAAGGATTAATTCTGATGGTTGGCTCTTTGTGAGCAAACAAACAAAATATGAATCTTAGTTGTGATTTTGATGTTTCCGAACTACTCGACAAATAATTTGRCAGGTTGTCCAAATTTAAAACAAAACTTGTATTTGATCATAATTTTCCCCCACACATTGTCCTAGTTTGGAAAAAACAAATGTTATAAATTAAACGGGAATATTTCTTCAGTAGAGACAGAACAGAGAGGTGTTTATACGGTAACGTTAGTAGAGAGCGAGCCTGCAGGTTTGAATCCCCTAACAGTCACAAAAATATGGGCGGAACAGGTGAAGCATCCACACCTGCCTCAACCTTCATTTACCCCACTCTGTGCCTTTGAGCAAGACATAGGTTACGAATGTATTTTTTTTAAAAGTGGGACATTTTGGAGGATTTCTGTCGATTTTACCGCTTTCTGCCACCAGATGTCGCTGTTCGCTGAGTTGAACGCACCTGGGCGTCATCTTTGAACTTGACCAGATTTTATCTCTGGAGCAAACTCCGTGTCGTTTGTTTGTTTTGTTAACCCRCATACCCCGGATTAATATTTAATGGACAAAGCAAACAGGTGGAGGAAAAAGCGCTCAGAATATACCGGGTACAACACCGGTAAGTTAGTGAAAGAGGGGGGAATCAGAGCTCCCCCCACCGCCTGACGCACCTCCTCTCCGGGTCACATCATCGTGTCGTSTCCGCCCCGCCGCTCCACCATCATCATCATTATCATCATCATCACAGAACCACAAGAAGACGCGAACAGAACCCACACAGGCCACCATGAAGGACCGCATCCAGGAACTCAGACACGTAAGTTTGTCTTTAATTCTTCTTCAATCCACCTGTTCTGAGGGTAGAAAGCGTTTTTAATCAACCTTCTTGTCCGAGGAGCGATCAGGGTGGGCTCACCAAGCAACAGTTGGTTCTGATGGGGGCTCAGGTTCGGTTCTTTAACCCCAGTGACAGTCCAGATCATCATATGTGTGAAAACTGAAAAACTGGGAGCCTATGGAGGGATTTGTTACAATAATAATAATAATAATAATACAACTAAAAATCAATTCTTCCAAAAATATCCAAGCAAAAATAATAACTTTCATTTCACTGGTTTATTCTTAAATTCACAAGTTACTGCATTTTATTAAAGGTTAATAGGTTTTGCTCAAAATTTGAGAAATTGATTTACTCAGATTTAGTTTAGAAGAACATGTCCCATCTTATTTATTCACCTGTTAAAATTCTTAAAGCATCTCAATATGAACTGTTTTGTTTTTCAAGACTGAAAAACATCATGAATCTTACTTTATAAAGGTCCATTTCTCCCATTTTAAATCACCTAACTGAATAATACCTTACAAATCTAATCATTGGAGTTTTTCTTTTAACCTCTTATGAATAATCATACTGTTAAAACTATTTGTTTTATTACTCAAAGCCAAGATGAGACTTTGCTTTCCTTTAASGCACATGTGCCAAACTCATGGCCTGCGGGCCAAATTTGGCCCTCATTACCATTTAATCCGGCTCAGAAGGTAATACTTTACATGTGACATTGTTTGATGGTTTCTCTCTTTCTCACTGGATTTAGTTCTTTCTTCCGATGACAGCTGGTCAACTCTCAGRCCAAGGAAATGAAGTTTGAATTTTTCAGTAATATCTGGTTTTGGTGTGGAAAGAGCAACAGAGAATCAACTCTAATGTCTTTTACTGACTTCTCTTATTATTTTAAAGTCAGAAAATTCAAGTTTAAGTGAGAGTTTTCAGTTTTTTTTAATTGTTGATAAGAAATGAACGSTATTGATGGTAATGGTGCTAATGACCCCCCGATCTAAGGTTTGCTTATCGCTCACATCTTGTCATGACAGAGATCATCCTGTGCTGAGAAATGATGGAGTTGCAGCTAGAAAAAGGGTGCGCAATCCAAACATCATGTGTCATCAGTTAGTGCTCAGAATATGTTTTGTGAACGACTCTCAGCTACTACCACACCAAATTTTAACTCCATGTCTGTAACATTCATGGAAGTGTAGTCATTTTTGTGTATGTTGAGGTTAATGAGCTGCCGTAGGGTTGACTCTCATCAGCTGTAGATGAGCGGTTCTGAGTTTGATTGAAATCTGCTCAGTGGTTTGGGAAATATTTTACTAACAGACAAACAGGGTTGATGTGCAGCTGATTCCATGGGTTTAAGCAAAACATGTTGCATTTAAAATATGTCTTGGTGATTATGCTCAGCTACTACCACACCACATTTTAGCTCRGTATCTGTAAATGTGGCAAAGTTAGAACCGCTTTTGCATTTTCTAAAGTCAGCTGGCTGAGGCGGACATCTTGAATTGGGTTGAGTCCGACACATAATCAACACAGAGATCACTTCCTGTAAGCTTCGCTGAAATCTGTTCGGCGATTCGTGAGATATTTTGTTCACAGACGCACACATGCAGGCACGGTCAAAGCTGGGCGACAAAGAGCTGTTTTTGACTCGACACACAGTTAAAGAAACTTATGCACCTTCCACTCGGGATGCTTCTGTTTATGCTGCCGTGTGTGTTTGTGCTCCCAGATGTGTCTATGCTAGAGAGGCCATTGTCAAATCTGGGTAATTGGCAGTTAAGATGAGGAGAACAATTTACAGCTCCTCGGCTTTCACTGAAGATCTCCAGCAATGAATTGGCCTCTGGGGAAGCGAACCCAGCCTTGCCAGTTGCGTGCCAGGGTGTTCAAGGCAGGTGTGTCTTCATCCTGCCTCCTCTTCCTCCTCTTCGCTGTGGCGGAGAGATGCTGCTGTACATCTAACACACACACACACACACACACACACACAGAAAGCTCGGCCAGTATTCAGGTTGTGAGGTCGAGAGCAGCTGCTGATTCCATTTTCTTTCATCATTTCTGATCGTATCGTTCGTGTCTGAGAAACTGCTGCTGAAGCAGCTCCAGGCAGACCCATTTTAGACAAACCAGACTAAATAAAATGGAAGCAAAATGCAAACCGGTGACAGTTATTTCCCATCAGCACCGGATTAATATCGTTTGGGTTGGATTGGGTTTACTTCAAATGTTAATCARCTGTAGACGTACATTCAACAATTACTCTCTGAGAGTTTTATTAAAATTTATCCAGTGGGTCCGTGAAGTATTTTTGGTAACAGACACACCCACATGAACAAAATGATCCACTTTTGATTTTTGATGGTGGGCGATTGCAAAAATTAGACTCCTCACCTGAAGCCTGGCTGGTAAAAAATCACAGCTGGTTGCCTCGTTTCTTGTACACTGCAAAAAATTTCCACCTACCCAAGTTTTAAAATCTTATATCCAGCCAAAAAAAATCTTTTTGATCTTGTTTTGAGACAGATTTACTAAACAAGAACTGATTGTGTAAGAATAATAATCTTGTTTTCAGAATGTCTAAGATTATTTGTCTTGTTAGTCTGAAAATTTGACTCAAATTAAGTCAAAAATTCTTGAAATAAGAAAAATTGAGTCAAATCAAGTATTTCAAGAATCTTACCAAGTAAAATTTTCTTACTCCAYTGGCAGAAATTTTTGACTTAATTTGAGTCAAATTTTCAGACTAACAAGACAAATAATCTTRGACTTTCTGAAAACAAGATTATTATTCTTACACAAYCAGTTCTTGTTTAGTAAATCRGTCTCAAAACAAGATCAAATAGACTTTTTGACTGGATATAAGATTTTAAAACTTGGTAAGATGGACAGTTTTTGYAGTGTAGCGGAGTCATATTTTAATTTATTTGAAACCAAGTGATTAAAATGGAACTGGGCTGCAGGTAGTTGAGCAGTAACCCTGTCTCCAGATTGTTCTTGTGACTTTTGTGGGTCTCTCAACGGCCCTGTGTGAGTCAATGAGGTGCCCGATMCTGTCGCTTGTTTTGAACAGCATCTTAAAGTGCCTGTGTCGTCAAATTTTTGTAATACATATGAATGCATTTTTGAAAAGATGTCATCGACAAAATATTGCAAAACAAATTTCATGTCGCCGAGACGAACAGTTGTTGAGATATTTGTCTGTGAAGTAACAGGAAGTGATTTCAAAGGGGAATGTTTGCATGTGAACAGAGTAGTACTACAACAGCCAACAACCCAGACTGTAGAGAAGAATCTGATGTTTCTTAAGATTATTTTGAGTCACTATCAGAGAGATGAAGAAGAGTCAGAGTTCAAATAATATTGTTTTAGTAAAGACCAGAGTTTTCTTTGTTAAAGAGTTCCCCTTTGATGTCACTTCCTGTTTCATTTYAGCTGAGTCAAGTTCAAAAGAAAATATGCCAGTTAAGGGACAAAATGTGTAAAATCGTGTGTATTGTTCCAACTTCCTTAAATATAAAAATGTTTTMTTTGACTTTTTTGGATTATTATTTGGAGAATATGCGTGTCACAGGCACTTTAAGGCCACACCACGCTGAACAGACCAGATCTCATCTGATCTTGGAAGCCAAGCAGGGTTGGGCCTGATTAGTACTGAAACCATAGGGGTTGCGCCCACACTGGAATTCTAGCAATAAAAAAGACAACCTTTGACCGTAATAAGTCAGAGGTCACCTTCTACGAAGGATGACAGAATCAAATCAAATCTCCTGCTCAATCGTTGTTGGGTCACAGTGGCAACAAGTCCAGAAGAGAAACCTGAACCCTCTCCCCAGCTCCTCTTGGGAGACCCTTTTCAGGATATATAATCCTTACAATAAGTTCTAGGTCTGCCCTGGGGTATCTTCATGGTGGGGTAACCTAACGGGAGGTGTCCAGGAGGCATCCCACTCAGATGCCCGGACCACCTCAACTGACCTCTTTTGATGCAGAGGAGCAGCGGCTCTACTCCAAGCTCCCCACGGATGATGGAGCTCCTCACCCAGTCTCTAACGGTGAGCCTGGCCACCCTACAAAGGAAGCTTATTTCAATCACTTGTGTTATGTTATTCTTTTGATCATGATTCATACCGTACAACCACTGGTAAGGGTTGGAATGTAAACAAAACTAGTAAAGAGCTCTGACTTTAAAGGGAACATCATGCAAAATCCAATTTTTTTTAGCTGTTAAATACTTTTTGTTGTGTACTTGGAGCCTCTGGGAGTGCAGAAAATTTAAATTTAGTCTCTCCTGGTTAACCTAGATAACTTTACTTTCTGTTTTGGTTATATTTTTCAACCCGTTCAGTTTTCTATGACATTTTTCTCCAACATGTAAGGCTGAATGAACAAGTCTTCTGTTGTTGACATCTATTAATTAAATTGTAAATGAAGCGTTTCTGCACTTCTAGATCCCCTCTCTCAAAGTGGAGTGGACCGGTCTGGAAGCTGGAGGGGGGGCGGGATGTGAAGCGCTACCGTTTAATTTTTAAAGGAATAGGATCAAAACGAGATGTTCTGAGACACACCTCTGAAAAGTGGTGAACAAGAGGCTGGTAAAGTTAAAAAAAARGGAGGAAATCAGACAGAAGCATTGCAGTTCCACTTTATAGAGACCCCAACTGAATGATATACATATAAAAATGGATTAAAAAGCATGAAATGTCTCCTTTAAACTCTTTCTTCACCACAGCTGACTAAAGCAACACCCTCATTACTGAAGACAAGGCCCTGATGTTTCAGTCCCTCTCCCACTCCGTCCTACAAACATAACACCAACTCTTCGTCCTGAGGCTTTTTGAAACTGTTTAACAACTTTTCTTTGAAAATACTCACAAATTTATAATCAAGAGTGCCGGAGCTGTATTTTTGACACCTGTCCAGGTCTAAACACCACATTAATAAATGAAACAAATTTAATATAAATAAATCTTTTCATT